ACCTTTTGGAGTGCTGGGGGGATTCCCTGGGGTCCAGTGGTGCTGCTGGGTTGCTGGGCGGTCGGGCAGGCGGGCGCGCGAGGGATCACTCAGTGCTTCCTATTCAGCTCCCTCGCGTGCCGCGTAGGGATGCCGGCGCCGGAAGATGACGTCATCTTCCGGCTCCGGTATCAGTGCGGTGCGCGAGGGAGCTGAAGAGGAAGCACTGAGTGCTCCCTCGCGCGCCCGCCTGCCCGACCGGCCACCCGCCCGCTGGGGTCAGCAGGGCCAGCCTCGGGGGCCCTGGGGTGGTCGGCTCCTGGGCCCCCCAGGGGAAGAGGCTGGCCCTGGGCGTACATACCGGGTCGCAGGGGCGGCCGGGCCCCCTGGTGGGCCGGGCCCGGTCGCAGCCGCGACCCCTGCGACCCTGGTATGTACGCGACTGAAATATAGTGAGTGATTATAGCAATGATTGTAGCCTTTATTACACACCAAGCATGTCAAACTCAAAGTCTAGTACGGGCCACATAAACAAGGTTTAAGTTTATGTGGGCTGCAAAAAACAACATTACATTTTCATAGAAATGTAGGTTTATTTTGAAAATTACAGTATTAAAAAAAAAACAGCATCCCCCTCTACTAAACCTCAGCACCCCTATACTAAATCCTTGTCTTGAAACCATGTGAAGGTGGAGCACGTTGATGTTACGCTGGAATGTGACGTGGCGTTGCGTGCCTCCATGCACCTCCAGGTACTCCGCTGTCCAGTCGCAGCCAATGCAACACTGACCAACACACACACACACTGACAGACACACACACACTCACAGACAGACACTCACAGACAGACACTCACAGACAGACACTCACTGACAGACACTCACTGACAGACACACACACACATACACTGACAGACACACACTCACTGACAGACAGACAGATAGACACACAGACACTCACAGACAGGCACACACACACTGAGAGACACACACACACTTACACATTCTTGCACACACATACTTTTCTTTATTGCTCCCTACCTTTTGGAGCCGATGTGGGGCCCGGCTTCACTACAGACAGCGAGGGAGCAGTGAGGAGCAGGAACACTAAGCTCCCTCGCTGGCCCTCCTCCCCGGCTGGGTAAGTTTTAGCAGAGTAGGCAGGTGCTTGGAACACTAGGCACGAGCCGCGGGCGACATGCTTGTCCTACACCATAAGTCGAGACAACAGGTAGCGGTAAAATAAAACTGTTTTATTGCAGCTGTGCAGAGATATTTTTACCCACAAAAGTGTATTTAGCATACAATAGGGTAATTAACAGTACATACACTTCCCCATCCTCTACCCATAACTCCTTGTTTTTCTTGCTGTAAACATCCATCAGCCCCACCCAAAAAAATACTCAGCTCTATTTTGTCCATATCAGGGCTCCTCAACCCTCTCCTCAAGACACACCTAACAGTCCAGGATTTAGGAATTACCTGGGTGTGTCTAAGGTGTTTAATAGAAAAAAAAAAATCTCTAATGTGTTTCTTTTTCTAAACACCTTAGACACACCCGGGTAATCCCTAAATCGTGGACTGTTGTGTGTGTGCATTGAGGAGAGGGTTGAGGAGTACTGGTCCATATAATGCAAACATTTAAAAATGAATGCCCCTTTTAAAACTTGCACCCAAGCAAGGGGAACCCCTACCCTGCAACCCTGAGTCCATGATATACACCCTCTTTGAATTCTATGGTTTTACATATCAGGACATAACAATTATCAGTTCCTTAGCAGGTTTTAAAATTAGGGAAATACAACCTCAGATGAATAACAACACATGACCTATTACACAGTGTCATGATTTAACCCCTTCACGACCGGTGACGGTACAGGACCTTCATCGGAAAAATCCCCTTGAGGACCGGTGACGGTCCTGAACCGTCTCACTTACCTCATCGCCGCCGTTCCCTCGCCCAGGCAGTCTCCCCTCGGTGAATTAGGACCCTGCGGCCATGTGTTCGCTCAACAGAGCGGTCACATGGCCGCAATAGGTGTCCAAGTATCTGCCTGCACGGGGACTGCCTGTGCTGACAGGCAGTCTCCCTGCATCTGTAAAAAAAAAAAAAAAATGTTAATAAAAATATAATTTTATATATATATATATATATATATATATATATATAATATGTAGACATATATTATCTATATATGTCTCTATATCTTGTATATATAATGTCATACTAAGTGTATTTTTATATTAATATTTACATATTAATATAAAAATACACTTCTAATTAAATTACACACTTATATAGATAATATATATAACTATATATATTGTGTGTATATATATTATTATAAAATACAAATAAAAAGTAAATTAAAATAAATTAAAACATGTAAAAATAATTTTAAAAAATTATATATATAAATTAAATTGTATTCTAACTGTATTTTGATATATATATATATATATATATATATATATATATATATGTATTTATCAAAATACATTTAGAATGAAATTATATATACATCTATGTATATATAAATAAATCAAAATAATCCGAAATATATATATATATATATATAGTGTTCAAGTAGAGATTTTAGCCGTATTAATCCAGTGATGTAGATGTAAAAAACAGATAAAATTCTTATCTTGTAATACCTTTTTTATTGGACTAACAGAATTTTTTAATGACAAGCTTTCGGGAGAACCTCCCTTTCTCAAGTCTGAAGCATTTCTGAGCAAAACGACAGATAGAATTCAAAGTTGAGTTGTGATACAGGGGTTAAAGCGACATGAGTGTAGATAAGACACAGGTTTGTTAGAAAATAGACACCATCTTAGCAGAGAGTCATAAATATCTTGTTGAAGAGAAAGAGATTCCTAGAAATCCAACACACCAAACCATACAAATATTATCGCTACATCGATGATATCTTCATAATTTGGACTGAAAGCAAAGAAAAACTGATACAGTTCCATGACTCTTTCAACACATTCCATCCTTCAATCAAACTAAAAATGGAATATTCCACTAGATCTGTGAATTTTCTGGACACAACTGTGACATGTAATAATGGCACAATCCACACCTCGGTTTACAGAAAACCCACAGACAGGTGCAGTTACCTACACAGCTCCAGCTTCCACCCCTCTCATACTAAACAGGGCATCATCTACAGCCAAGCCACTAGGTACCATCGCATATGCTCTGATCCTAATGACCGTAATTCCCATCTAAATGTACTCTCCCAATCTATGAGACAGAAAGGCTACAAACCAAAGACTATTACCAAACAAATCAACTCTGCTGTAAAAATGCCACGTACGCGCCTGCTACAATACAGAGAGAAAAATATATGCACACGAGTGCCACTTGTGGTCACCTACAACCCTGCTCTTGAGGAAATACGGAAAATCATCAAAGACCTACAACCAATATTAACAGAAGATGAGACTCTGAAAAACATTTTCCCTGAAACACCCATTTTGGCCTTCAGACAACCACCAAACCTCCAACAAAAATTAATCAACAGGAGGCTGCCCACTGATGGTAAGAACGAAGAAAACGGGACCAGTCAATGCAAAAAACCTCGCTGCAAACTGTGTCAGCACATATGCACAGACAACACAACCACACACAACAATAAAACCTACAGCATTAAAGGTTCATACTCCTGCACATCCAGCAATGTGGTATACATGATTCAATGCATAAAATGCCACCTAGGATGCTACATTGGGGAAACCACCCAGCCATTAAATGGCAGAATGAATATGCACAGACACTCTATTAAACACCACAAAGAAGAATCATACTGCACTCCTGTGGGACACCACTTTACCCAGCCTGGCCACTCACTGAAGGACCTAAAAATCAAAGTACTAAAAGGGGTTTTTAAAAATACCCAGGAAAGAAAAGCCTTTGAAGCCAGAATGATTTAATGGTTTAACAGCAAGAAGAGAGGACTAAATATTGATTTGGGATTCCTGTCCCCCTACCAACACTTTACATGAACACTCTCCCAGCATTATCTTACTATTCTGTCATATGTACCAACACTTTAAAAAGCATTCCTATATGTTTATTCTATCTATATACAAAGTACTAGGTGTAGACCTATCCTTTCCCATACTCGTATGCATGAATGCTTATATATATTACTGTGCATTTATATTTGTGTATATGAGTCCATGTGCATGTATGTATATGTGTATATGTATATATACATGTGTTTATGCGTTCACATATACATATTTCTGTGTGTGTGCATGTATAAAGTGTATCATCCTGTGCACTGTCTGCTTGTTTGTTTTTCTTTTCCCTCTCTCCCCCCTACTCTTTTCTTCAACAAGATATTTATGACTCTCTGCTAAGATGGTGTCTATTTTCTAACAAACCTGTGTCTTATCTACACTCATGTCGCTTTAACCCCTGTATCACAACTCAACTTTGAATTCTATGTGTCGTTTTGCTCAGAAATGCTTCAGACTTGAGAAAGGGAGGTTCTCCCGAAAGCTTGTCATTAAAAAATTCTGTTAGTCCAATAAAAAAGGTATTGCAAGATAAAAATTTTATCTGTTTTTTACATCTATATATATATATATATATATATATATATATATATATATATATATATCCATATATATATATATACACACATACACACACACACACACACACACACACGCTTATTAATAAATATACGTACAATTCCCTTTAACAAAACTTTAAATATAGCTAGATATTACACACATAGCAGAATTCTTTTTTATGCATTATACTAAAATTAATTATTGAATGTTTCAGGGTATAAAATGTATGCAAACAATACAAATGGTCTCTCATTTACAGGATAAGCATGACATATGAATCTGTGTATTCTTACAGTAATAGTCTGAATAGCATTTTTACATGTGATCTACTAGTAAGAGATGCTGACACACCATGGATATAGCACAGTGAAATATTCAGACAGCATTTTTCCAGTGTCTAAGCATGAATTAACAAAATGATGTATGTTACCTCCACCCTTGACTCCAGACACAGGCTTCCTAGCAGGGTTGATTGGATTCCCAGGTTTCTTTGGGGCAGGAACCTTGAAAGCTGATGAAGGCCTGTTCCCATCCACTGACTCTTCATCATCAAAGCTTTTATCTATGAACAATAAAAGAAAGGAGAAGAGAATAAGGAATGGACACACCTATTATTGCAGGGTTTGCAAACAGGGCTCATCCACTCCCATCGCAGCTCAGACATAGCAAAATCCACAGCAGCACTAGCATAGCACAGTGGAAGGAAAAAGAGAATCTCTGCTTTATTTACAGCCCTTTGTTTCAGGCCTTGGCATAAAATAATTAGAACACACAACAAATGTAAACATTATTCTACATACAAGCAAAACCCATCTATAATTATTTAAAGCTTCAGCCAATATAATCAACAATTAAAATTATGTAGACAATGAAATATGTTTTAGCAGATCGTGTAAATCATCCCTGAAAGCAGCTTGCCATGCTGACTGCACAGGCAGTTCACCTTCTCAGTGCTGCTTGTTTTTTCCTCCCATCTGCGAGAACACACCCGGCATCCTTTCTACCTGCCTGATGCTGCAACTTACAATCACAGATGCGCTTGCAGATCAGTCGCCTCATTCCTCCCAAAGCACTCGGATTCCCCTCCACTCTAAAACGCTGCTGGTAGCTCACATGGCCCTCCCCTCCCTTCCCCCCACAGGCAATGCACACAGGATTTTTCAGGAACTCTAAGCAGAGCTCCCGACAGACAGAAAGGACCACAAATTCAACGGTGAGGTTGGAGCCGGCATCTTTCCTCTCCCTTTGCCTGCACTGGGAGGAGAGTCATCCAATCAGCTGCAGAGTGACATCATTCTCCAACAGCCATTGCCATGGAAAAGGTGGAAGCTTACCATGAATATAAATGCCACTTAAGATAAAGTACAGAGAATAGAGTAACAACATTCTAGAGACAATCCTTTCTATACTCAAAATGTATCAGCATTTATGCAGCTCTAATTATAAAAAAAAAAAAAAAAGACTATTACACACATACACACACACACACACACACACACACACACACACAGGCAAATGAACAATAAAAGAAAGGAGAAGAGAATAAGGCATGGACACACCTATTATTGCAGGGTTTGCACATATACACACACACATATATACACATACACACACATATATATATATACACATACACACATACACACATATATATATATACACATACACACACATATATATATACAC